TTTTATTTTATTTTATTTTATTTTTTTCTGAAAGCAACACTAATGTGTTTTGGAAACAACAAGTGCCTGGAATAAGAATTGTTGAGAAATAAGCATTAACCTTGGCAGCAGATGCTGTAGCAAAAGAAAGTGGGGCAGTGAGGGCCAATGAGCTGGACTGTGCTGGGTGACCAAGGGCTCGGCAGGCCCAGGGTGCTCTGTTTGCTCAGGATCTGCTCTCTTGGTTACACACCTGTGTCTCACAGCAGCCCCAAAACAAGGAAGAGGAATAAATGTCGTTCAGGTATCTGTAGAGGTGCCTACCCAGAACTCTAGCAAGCTTGGTCAGTTCTTCCAGAGTTGAAGAAGCACCTGAAACTCTCAGAAAAGACCCAGAAGCACCAACAGTGTGTATCTTTATTGATGCTCCTTATCCAGAAGTAGAAAAAGATAAAGTGGGGAGGGGATGGGATGGTGGCTTTGGATTGATTTAAACTGTGAAGTCAGGCCACCTCTGTTCCCAGATGAGCTCACACCTTTTACTCTGCTGTCTTCTGTGAAGCATCCTTCAGCTGTTGCACGCTTTTAATAACTTTCCTGAGTTTGGCATTAGTGTTGTTTAATTCCTTTGCCAGCTCAGCCGTGTACCTGAAGAGCCTAGAACACAAACACAGGAACACGTCCTTGAGACGGCGCTGCCCTTAAGCTTGGATTTGCAACCGTCCTCTTTGCTCACTTGTGTCAGCTGCCAAGGGTCTAAGTCCTGAAACACCTCTTACAAGCACAAGCTCTTACAGTCTCTGTCCCACTCCCTGGGCAGCCACAAAGAGATGTTCTGGAAAAGTGACAATACTTAAATTCTTGTCCCACCTCATTCTTGACTAATGTCCTTACGAGCTGCTCTACAAAATTCTTCCATTTCCTTCTTCCCTCCCTGAGGGCAGCTCTTGTCAGCCAGTATAAGAGCACTTAAAATACCTTAAAATCACTGACTGTGTTGATCTTCTGTCCCTCAGGAGTGGCTTGGTGAGGGTTTCAGCCACGGCTGCAACTGCCTGGGCTTGGGAATAGAGCACTTAAAATACCTTAAAATCACTGACTTTGTGTTGATCTTCTGTCCCTCAGGAGTCGCTTGGTGAGGGTTTCAGCCAGGGCTGCAGCTGCCTGGGGATGGGAGCAAGACTGCAAGAACAGACTCACACACACACACTTACTGCTGAAATTCTGCAGTGGAGACATAGCTCTGGGCTGTGACTAAGTCTGTGTCCTCAGTAGATGGATGAAGTTCCTCTTTCTCTTGCTGAAGCTTTGATAACTTCAGATGGCTCCGTTCAGCAGCAGAGGGCTTAAAAAAAAAGAAATCACAGGAAAAGCCAGCATGGCTCATGGGGACACCTGTAATACAGTCACTCATGCAGGGAGGGGACACGCATGCAGGGAAAGGTATGTGCAGCTTGGGGAGAAGCTTCTCCATCTCTGAAAGCAGATTTTCCTTCTGGCCCTTCCAAAAAGATAGGATCTGGGAATACACATGTCTTCAGAGCTGAGGGATTGCCAGCGTTGGGGATAGCAGTGTTTACGGCTGGCCAAGGTGCTTTTCCCTCTTTTGTTCTTGAAGTGATTTTTAAAAATCTTTTACAAGTACTTGAGCTTACCCCAGATGCAGAACCACTAAAAACTGCTGGAAACCTGCTTTTTGTAAAGCAAAAGGAAGCTCCAGTAATTTTTTCTTCTTGCTGTAGATGCAGCCTATGACCCAAG